TAAAAATAATATCAATCTCCACAACAGAAGTACAATGCGAAAAAGAGCAAATGTTCACAGTTAACAGACCAAACTGTGAAAAAGTTATATGCAATTTCAGTCAAAAGCAACAACAGTTGGGAACAGAAACTGTTTGGGAAAAACAAGGAAAATCTCAGGCAAGGTCTGATACAAATCACACAACCTCTTGAACTTAAAAACTGATAAGATTGGTTTCAAGGGATGCAGTTTACTTTCATAAATACCTTTATCTAGTTAACAACTTACAAGAATATCTTGCCCACTGAACATAAGAAACCTGACTCATATGAGCTTACTTACATCCATTTCATGAGGTTATCATCTAAAGTATAAAAAACATAATAATGATTCACTCCGCGGAAAAGAATAAGGAAGCCTCACTCAGACATCATTTCACAGTAAAACCAGCAAAGAGAACTGAAAACTGCTTTGCTAAACACTGGTGTCTGAAAAAAAAACAATGCCAATTTATGTCTATTCAGCAAAACCAGTTGATCCGTCCTAGTCATCTAGGGATACTAAACTCAACTCGGAGACAGAATCAAGTTATTAAACAATGTGGCAATAATAATCAGCTCGCATTTGATTCCTCATCAGATACAGGGAACATTAGCGTGTAATACAACAGGATGCACAACTACTGAAGAGAGGGCTGTTTTGATTGATAATGTGGATAAATTAACTTACATCCTAACACGCTGACTGCACGGTTTAATTTAGATTAATGACGGCAATAATGCTAATTTTATCCACACACTTTCGATTTAGACTAGTAATGCAGACATTTATTTCTAGGTGAGACAGAAGTTGCATAGATGTTTATAAAGCGTGTTATAACGACAGTAAGCGCTTCTGAGATTCAGTCCGTGAGATTTGTGCTAACATGCTAAGACTGCTGGAGCCAGATAAAACTACTCAATATCACTTTATATTTATTTAAGGAGCAAAACACTACTGGCACATTTATGGACTACAAGCGAATAAAACGACCCACATCACACAACACATCTCGTTTAACATCTCTTGGTGAATTTTTGAAGTGAATTAACGGTCCTTATCAATAGTGTCTGCTAGCGCGCTCGTTTAGCCGCCTACCTTCACACACCCGCCGGAAAAAAACCCGACCAACTTTAGCGTGTTCAGCTGCAGTCAACCTCAATCCCTTTTCTCCTCAGCAGACTGGGTCATTCCACGAAACGAGTTTTGGGATAATAAAAACACGGCCGTGCTGCACTCAGTGCGACCTCACGAGCCGCTCAAGTAACGCGCCTGTCACTCAATGCCTCACTTCTCAGCGCTCCAGCGCGAGCTAGCGCCGCGATTTTAGCGCAGAGTCTCATGACAGCTTCCGGTGTCGAGCTGAATCATGGGCCGCCACCCGACAAAACAAAGGTCGCGATGAGACGATTTACTTGTGTAATAAGGTTAAACTCTGATCAAACCCTATTCTTAACTTTAACCTCAATCTTAATCTAAATATACACCAGAAATATGCAGCATTGGGTTCTGAATTCAATGCACTAGATGCCCCCCCCCCACAATTAAATTTAAATGCATCTTTCACACTTGCACAAACATGACAATTAATTTTGTATGAATTGTTTTTTTTTGTTTTTTTTTATTCATGTAATTGAAAACAGACCTTTAATCAAAATGTAACTTTTCTCTACTGACAAGGCACAGCCACAGTTAAGACCATCAGTACATAAAGCCCACTTTTCAGACATTGATCAGCAAGGCCATTCCTATGTTCCCATGTTCCCCACATTAATGAAGACATGACAAAAATACTTATGTTCCCAGGGTCCTATGTTCCCTATATTTATATGGCAATTATAATTCAATGTTCCCAGGGTTAGGGTTATGCTATCATAAGGACATAGTGTTAACTCTAGGAACATACTGAAAGTAGAGCAGACATCTTGATTAAAATACTAAAAATGTTATATAGGTTTCAGATGATGGGATAAAGTTTTACATTTTTATGGTTAGCAGCTCATGTGGGAGTAAAAGGAAACGAGGAGTGCAAAGAAAAATATATACAAAAAAGAGAATATAAAAAAGAAACATAAATGTTAAATATACATAGGAAGACTGAAACAAAGAGTATAGTGAAACGACAAATAAAGGGCAAAACCAGTGGAAGGAGGATAGAACGGGTAGATGGTTTTATGACATTCAAAGAAATGCAGGATTAGGAATAGAAGAGAAGAAACCATAAACTCAAAATTTAGATTCGAACATACATCTCTTAAAGGGGTCATATGATGCTGCTAAAAAGAACATTATTTTGTGTATTTGGTGTAATGAAATGTGTTTATGCGGTTTAAGGTTCAAAAACACATTATTTTCCACATACTGTACATTATTGTATCTCCTCTATGCCCCGCCTTTCTGAAACGCGTCGATTTTTACAAAGCTCATCGGTCTGAAAAGCGAGGTGTGCTCTGATTGGACAGCTATCCAGTGCGTTGTGATTGGCCGAATACCTCAAGCGTGAGACGGAAATGTTACGCCCCTCACCAGACTGTGATGCCGTGTCCCGGCCTGAGCTACGAGACAAAAACTTTAAAACCCATTATAAACGAGGCATTTGTTGCATCCAGTGGGGACATAATTACGGATTATAATGACTTATACTGTCTTTTTACGCGTTGCATTGCATCGTGCTGCGTAAACATAAAACCATGTCTGCATTTGTGATCGGAGAAACGACAAACAACAAACGCTACTCTACACTGCTCAAAACTTGCGTTTTAATCGTCAGTGGCAAATTCTTTAAATATAAAAAACGTACTTACAGTCTGTGAGTCAGAACAGCCGGCATTGTAGTCTACTCTCCCAGGATCAGGAAACAGTCCTCCATAAAATGCGCTGCACACATCTGAATTCAAAAGATGAATGTTTTTTTTATTACAATATTTTAAAGCATCAGAGTTAGATAAGAGAATACAACATTTTGAACAAAAACAAACAAACAAAAAAAAACTACTACTTACCAGTGGTAGTTTATTATTTATTATTTTTATTTATAGTAAACTATCATCATCTAAGAGAAAGAATAATTTGCAGATGCACGTCACAAACCCCTGTCGAAGACCCCAATATACTGAAATAACAACTAAAACTACAGCATCATTTTACACATGGTATACTAAAGTATTTTGAGCAAATGTTATGTAAGTATGAGATCAATCATGTCCAATTTATGGTCATAGCAAACTGCAGTTTGGTTGAGTAGATTGTGATAACATGGATTTTCAATGAATTTGTCAATTACCCACAGTATTTTATACATCCACTTCCATTAGGGGAAGCCTAATAATAATTTTAGCCTAATAATACGATTTTTGGAGGGTTTGACATTACAAAACAATTAATGCAATTAATTGAATGATTAATTAAATAAATAAAAAATTATATCCGATTCTATCCAATACCCATAAGCTGATAATTATTTGTACTGTCATGGTTGATATAGCCAATAAATAGCCCACATAAAAATAATTTACTAATTAAATGATTTATAATTTGTCTGAATAATTGGGGAAAAAAAACTCTACAACCTAAAATAAATTATTTTAAATGATTCAAGTGAATTTTGGCATAACAATATAAAATATGAAAATACAAAGATTACATGTGTGTTATTAAATTATCAGTGTTTTTAAAGTGTTTTTTAAATTTACAAACAAAGTAATTGACCATGTACAATTAAATATCTAATATTAGCCGATATAAGCCTACACACAATTTTTAATTTAACCAATAATTTAACAAATCTGTAATATCAGCAACTAACCGATTTGTTACCACTCTATTGCCCATACTCAAATTATAAATTAAATTAAATCAAATTAAATTAACTTTTGTTTACTGACATATTATGAAAGTGTTAATAAAAAGAAGTCTAAAAAGGAATCTGATCCTTTTTTATGTTAATAGTGTTTTCTTTTTTAATATTAAATAGGCCTACTGTAGTTCCCATTTTATTCTCAGAAATCTATAAAGCTTTCCATTTTATGAAGGTATTGATGTTGGTGATGTAATTAATCTCATCTCAGTTTATTTGTAAAGCACAATTAAATGTGATTAAATTTGATAGGCAAATAAATTTAGTTGTCAAATGAAGTTACTTGTAGTTATATCTGATCAAATGCACATTATTATTCTTTAGCTTGGGTTAAACAAATCAATTTTGCTTGGTTGGAACAGCAGCTTCGCTAATTATGTCTTATGTCTATTTGTTTCTCTGTTTTTGCCACGGGATTGACATCCCTAGGACTAGGATTGACACAAGCTTCAGTCTGGATCCAGAACACCTGAGAAGAGATGATGCCAACCCCTCAGAGGACCTCAGATGATGCCAACCCTGAAACAACGTACAGAACTACCACATTTTGCTATAAGTTTGATTGCATCATATAATAATGGCTGTTAATAGTGTTCATCGTCTGTTTGATTACGTCTTTAATTGATTTTTCCGTGCATTTCTGCCATATGTACATTGACTGACAGTCACCACTGATAAGCTACTACTAAATATTGTAGAAACTTAATTAGCTGTAAAGTTGATTTGCAACGATTTGTATCGTGAAAAGCGCTATACAAATAAACTTGAATTGAATTGAATGAAGTTTTTTACCAACTAAGAGCTCTGGCTAAAGTGAAGACTTTCCTCTGTTGTCTTTTGTTGTTTGCTTTGTCTTTATATATACTTTTTTCTTCATTGCTTTTTTAAAAATGGTTTTTGGTGTTTTTATAAGTCTTTTTAGAACATTGTACAGCACATTGGACAACTGTGGTTGTTTTTAAGTGCATCAAATTAGACGCTAATTGTTTCCGATTGAAAATCAAATAGGTAGTTTAAAAAAATGATATTCTATTCTATTCTATTCTGCGTAGGAATGAGACTTTTACTGTAAAATGTAGCCATAACTGAGCGTTGATGCCTCGTTCACGTTGCGTAGCAGTTTGCAAAACAGTCGCAGTAAGATGGCGCTGTCTGGAGGGACGACGGACAGAGGATCCCACAGCATGGACAAGAGCATCACACTCCCCCCAGATGAAATTTTCCGCAATTTAGAGAACGCCAAGATGTTCGCTATAGATATAGGTATTATCACATGCCAACTCGTACCCTTGTTCTTTTCTCGATCGTATTACAGTCACTTGTGGAGTTTGGACGTGCCAGAGTTTGTTGGGCAGGGCTGCGTTCAACTCTGTTAGCGCGTGCTGCTAATCTGACAGTTTGTTCAATGCATGTGAGGAATAACAACACTAACATTATTTATGAAGCCTTTGAGGCTGTAAATATGCACTAAATAGTGTTCATTATAGAAATAGAGCGGAACGAGGACAGGTTTATTTGTACTACTGGGCTTCAAGTGCAAACATGTCATATATTTTAATGGACCTAAACAACCTGATGTAATATGTTAATAACAGCATAATAATCGCATAAGAGAAGGTTAAATGTATATCAACATAGAATATCAACATTGCCTCATCTTATCTGACAGGTGGCTCTTTGACAAAACTGGCGTATTACTCCACTGTTCAGCATAAAGTTGCCAAAGTCAGGTCGTTTGATCATTCAGCGAAGGTAAGCTTGCAGGTAAGATTTTTTTCACTTAACCCCATGATTACACATAACATTAGGGGCCTTTTTTGGAGACAAGGACATTTTCAACTTCCTTTAGTGCATAATGTTGCTGTTTTTGCATGAAAAAAGATCTGCAAAGTTACAAAGTCCACTCCAAAGGGAGTTTCTGGGCCTGTCCCAATACCTACACTTGCAGTCTTGACCACTTGAGAGGGCATGCACACGACAGAAAGTAAGCGTAGACTGTCGCAGGTCTGAAAAATGGCAAAGCTCAGTGGCCATAATGCACATGAAATCTCTAATACCTCTTCGGAGTGGTATCCCGTCATTCCTCAGGTTCAGGAAGGAGCTCACAAGCCCCAAAACCATGAAATGTCGAGGAAAACTTTGCAGTGTAATTAATTTAATTAGATATCACATATATTTTGTGTAAATTGTAAAGTGTTGCACATTTTATTGGCACAAAGATGTTTATGTGTATTATGTAAAATATTTGCAACTGCTTTTTATCACTTGACTAGACGCACCACAATTAAATTGGGTCATTCATAGGGACTACTGAACAGAAATTTAGATGCTTATTTTAAAGTGCGTTATATTACATGTACAAAATGTGAAAATAAATCTCTGAAAACTTTGCTTGCATTATATTACAACAGAATATCTCCCATTAAAAAGTAAAAGAGCATAGTGGTCATTAACTGATATAGATGTGTATGACATATGGTCCCAGTCTATCAAGGTGTTGCAGGATGTGTTGCAGTCCTTTTTTGACTGCACAGCAGTCAATGAATTCATGATCATGAATTCCTGGTAATTTAAAAATGTAAAAGCAATGCCATAGCGGAACTGTGAAGAGTTCATTAAAAATTTCCTTTGTGTGAAGAACATTTTATATAATAAAAAGGTTTCATGGATGTTAAATGAATGTCTATATTTTGTTACTAGAGTGCAGTTTGCTTAGGAATTCCTCCCATCTGAGAGCATGTTTTGGAGATCAGTCTGTGTATATAAAATCAATCAAAACTCTTACAGTTAACATTCTTGTTTAAAATATTAAATTTTAATGTAGTTGTAATATTATATATTATAAATATATAACACTTTATATTAAGATTCTTTGCATTAATATTCATTAAAACAGTTTTATAATTATTTAATTGTATAATTTTTCATTTTCCTTGTTTCTAGGAAACAGATGGTGACCTTCTTTATGAGATATCTGTACAGGAAGAGATCACTGCCCGTCTTCACTTTATCAAGTTTGAGAATGCTTACATTGAAACCTGTCTAGATTTCATTAAGGACCACCTGGTCAATACAGAAACCAAAGTCATCAAAGCAACTGGTGGAGGGGCGTACAAGTTCAAGGACCTCGTAGAGAAAAAGTTAAAGCTAAAGTAAAAGAAATTTTATAGCTTACTGAGAATGATACAGATATGCTTGGAGTTCAAGGATTTGTTGTAATGGTAATTAAATCTATGTATTTTTGTAAAAAAAAAAAAATGTTTCTCTTAGAGTGGACAAAGAGGATGAAATGACTTGTCTGATCAAAGGATGCAACTTCGTTCTGAAGAATATCCCCCATGAGGCTTTTGTGTATGCCAAACATGCTGATTCTGAATTCCGGTTCCAAAATACACATCCGGACATCTTCCCCTACCTGCTTATAAATATTGGCTCTGGAGTCTCAATAGTAAAGGTATATCTGTACTGTACTGGATCTACATGCCACTGTGACATTATACACACAAAACAAAAATCCTGAGTTTGCTGACTTTCTAAAGGGAGCACCCATGTCCTGTTTTTGAAGGTTGAAGCAGAGGACAAATTTGAGCGTATTGGTGGCAGTTCTATAGGTGGTGGCACTTTTTGGGGTCTTGGAGCTTTACTTACAAAAACCAAGGTGGTTCATTTTGTGAAGTATTACTAGGAATTTCTGTTTTTTCTTTAATTATTTGATTCACATATGATTTGTTGTTATTATCCCTTCCCATTCTCTGTCTTAGAGGTTTGATGAGCTTTTGCAGTTAGCATCCAAAGGACAACACACAAATGTTGATATGCTTGTGAAAGACATCTATGGAGGTGCTTACGGGTCCCTGGGTTTAACTGGCAACCTCATTGCAAGTAGCTTTGGGAAATCAGCCACCACAGACAAAGGTAAAGCAGAAGAAAAAATAAAAAGTGGTTAGATTGTAACATGAGGCAGTTTATTATATGGCCTGTTTTCCTCACCCAGGAAGAGTCATTTGACCCTTCAACCAGTTTGCAGTATTATTAATGTGAAATGAAGCCAAAGGTCTTTGTTTTCACAAAGGCATACATGAGGAAAGTGTAACAGAGAGTTTTTAACCCTTTTTATGGTCTAAAGTAACATATGCACCATTTTGCACCATGAGTTCGAAAGAATAGTTTACATGGCAGATCTCACTTAACTTGGGCATTTTGTTGTATATTGCTTAGAGTTCTCCAAAGAAGACATGGCGAAGAGCCTACTGCACATGATAAGCAATGACATTGGACAGCTTGCCTGCCTCTACGCCAAACTGCATAACCTTACCAGAGTCTATTTTGGAGGATTTTTCATTCGAGGACATCCCGTTACCATGCACACCATCACCTATAGCATCAATTTCTTCACTAAGGTCATAATTTGTGTAATACTGTATCAATAATGATTACATGAGTGTTTGATACAATGATTAATATTGTCAAATTCTGTCAAATTTTTTTATTCTCAGGATAAAACCTTATATTGCTGTGTTATGTGAGCATTTTGGATAAAGAATTGTGTTTATTTGTAGGGGGAGGTTCAGGCTTTATTTCTAAGACATGAAGGATATCTTGGTGCTATTGGGGCCTTTTTGAAGGGGGCAGAAGAAGACAGTAAGCTATTGCTGTGTACACAATCAAACTGTTTCATATATGCTGCAGTGAGTGTGGTTTGTTTTACCTACTTGTTTCTTTGTGTTAGATCCTAACCAGTACAGCTGGGAAGAGAACTATGCTGGCAGCTCTGGTCTCATGAGTGCATCTCCAGAGCTGAATCCTGTGCAGCGGGCTCGTAGTGGAACGGTAATTTACACAAAGAAGAGGCTAAAAGTAAATTTGCTGTTGCAGTGTTTCATCTTTTTTGAAAGACAAAGTAGATTGTAGTTGGAGTTATTTTTTTTTAAAGGGGTCATATGATGCTATTTTAAAGATCATTATTTTGTGTATTAGGTGTAACAGAATATGTTGACATGCTTTAATGTTCAAAAAACACATTATTTTTCAAATACTGTACATTATTGTAGGTCCTCTATGCCCCG